CCCCAGAAGGTTGATTGTTACTGAGAAGAGGTACGGCACTCAAATACTGGTGTCTTAGAGAAAGCATGGGGTTTGGACTGTTGGGATTGGATCTTTGAGCAAATCTGCCCACAGGTGTGTTTTCCCAGCTGTAAACCCTGCTGTCTTTGTCCCTTGGGAGGACTAAGTCATGGCTCATCTGATTTCTTTACAGTATGTGCTTTTCTAATGCAGAGAACCACCCAATATGAGGTTTTTTCCCTCCTCCCCCCATACTCTCTCATCACAGCTCCATGGGACAAAAGTGTTAAAGGATCCAAGCACGAGGTGGGTGTGTGGGTCCAAGATTTATTCCAAACCCACATTTGCTGCTGCTCAGAGTGGGTTTGTCTCAGCTCTTCTGCGTTCCCAAGAACATGCTGAGCTAATGGCAGGAAACACCCCTGGTCCTCTCCCATGTCACCGGAAACAGAGTCACCTTTATTAACTGGTTCCCTCTAAGGTGCATATATGAATTGCAGTTGGAGGAAGCAAAGCCAGAGGGACCCTGGTGAGCACTCATCATGTGTAGAGCATTTGCCCCAGTGCGGTACGTGTTTGTATTGTTTGCTTTGATGTTCTACATTCAAAGTAGGGGGTTTTTGGATGTGTTTTTGGATTTTTTTTGTTTTAGTGGGGATAGGTTTTATGACTCATTGCAAGATTGATTCCTGTAGGCCACTGAAACAGGAGTTTCAGACCGAAAGGACCGGGGGGTAACAGTGGACAATAAGCTGGATATGAGCCAGCAGTGTGCCCTTGTTGCCAAGAAGGCTAACAGCATACTGGTATGCATTAGTAGGAGCATTACTAGAGGATGGAGGGCAGTGATTCTTGCCCTCAATTCAGGACTGGTGAGGCCATACCTGCAGTATTTTGTCCAGTTTGGGCTCCATCCCTACACAAAGGAAGTGGACAAATTGGAGAGAGTCCAGCAGAGGGCAACAAAAATGGTTCGGGGGCTGGGGGACATGACTTATAAAGAGAAGCTGAGGGAAATCGGCTCATTTAGGGTGGAAAAGAGGAGACCGAGAGGGGAGTTAATAGCAGCCTTTAACTACCTCCAAGTCTCCTCCGCCACTGGGGCCTCAATCTGCGCCCCCCACCCCACAGTGGCACTGTGTACTCACCCCATGCACAGATCCAGGGGCACAGCCCCCCTCCATTCCCTCACGGGGTGCGTTCAATGGCAGGAGCTGCCCCGTGGACAAGCTGCTCATGCCTCCGTCCTGCACCCTGCCCCGGCTGAACATCGTCTGCCCCTACCCCACTCCCTCCCTCACTGCAGGGCTCAGTCCACTTCGTCCTCCTCCACCTTAAAATGAAGGAAAAAATATAAAGGGGTACATGTGCTGAAACTTTTAGACAGAAAGGATACACTTGTTAAAAAAGGTTGAAAAACTCTGGGATAGACTATTCTCAGTAGCCATAGGGGACAGAACTAGGAGCAATGGGCTCAAGCTCCAGCAGAGGAAATGTAGGATGGAGATGAGGACAAATGTTCAGAGAAGGAGGGTGCTCAAGCATTTGGACAGGCATTTAGAGAAGCCCTGCCTAACTGGTCATGTTCAGGCCTGTTATTTAAATCCATAAAATTATTTGGGCACCTAGAATGAGGCTGTGGTGCAGAGTAGGTGACTAAATCCACAATTGTGATCCTGGAAACCCCTGCTTAGTGGCTGCCCCTTAGGGAAGTGCTACAACTCTCTAAGAATTACATCCAACATCACCTTCTAAGCATGCATTGAGCAGCTTCTAGCAAGGTCCTGATGTGAAAAGACAGACACCCTAGGGATCCCAACATCCTCCACCACCCACCATGTCATTCCTTGATATAACTTGTACTTGCGCAACAGAGTTGAGTGTATAGTTTTGGGGACAGATCAGACAAGGATGTTGCTTAGGGGTGATTATGCCTTGAGCCAGGGTTTGGACTAGATGACCTGCAGAGGTCTGTTCCAGCCCTATTTTTCTAGGTTTCTATGAGTCTATAATTCCCTGCCTCTTGTGCTCCTGGCCACATCCTCTATGCTTTGCTCAATGTTTCCTCCACCCAACTCCTACCTCCGCTCCTTCTCCCCAGCTGGACGAGCCTCTGGTATCCCAGCAATGTTTTCCTTCCCTGCCATCATGGCAGCAGCAGATGTTGTACAGTCATTGCCACGAGCTAGACTTTCATGTATCTAGCTGCCGACCACTCCTGAGAGTAGTCCCAGCAGCCTATAATTATAAGGACATAGGAAAGCCCTAAGCATGTCTGATTTCCCTGTGTATCCCTGCCCATCTCCTGTAGCTGTTTTTCTCCTGGTTGCGACATGAGTCTATCCAAGCTAGTGGCTGTTAGACATACTGGGGAAATGAATAAAAATGAAGAAAGTGAGTAAAAGTAAAAGAAACCTGCTGCTGTGCAGATAGCACCCCTGAGGGGATCCTCATCATCTCTAGGTGGAAGAAGAAGACTGAAACGTTTTGTCCCTTCTCTTCTAAGGATAATAAAAGCAAGCCCAGATGCTGAGCTCTGCCTCCCCGAGGCACCAGGGAAAGGGCTTCAGGTCACTTCTGTGTTTGGGGGTTCATGGCCTGGTTGAGAACCTGTCCAAAGCCATATTGAGCTGCTGCCAGGGCCCCTCTGACATCTCAGCTTTGCACGGTTTTCCATGATCATTGGTGCTATCTGGGTAACACGAACACAGCAGAGCTGTGCTCAGCAAAACAGAGCAAAGAGATACTCCGATTGCAGTTACTACTTATTCAGTGGATACGCCGAAGACATACCCACCCTGAACCTGCTGGGCCAGTCACCATTGCACCTTGGTTGCTTTATGTTGCAATGTCAGAGTAAAGAGCTTTGAGGGAATGAGGAATTGGACCATATTTACCCCCAAAAGCCCTCTTTCCCCACCACAAATTCCATCTTGGACCATATGAAGTGCATAACCTCATAAAGCTGGAGTTCCTTCCTAATGGCAGAATGGTCTCTTGAGAAATAGTCTAGGAGACCCTAGACCAGCTAGAATGGTCCTTTGAGAAATACACTAAGAGAAATAGAGTCGGAGACCCCAAGGATGTAGGAAACCCAGATTCAAGTCTGCATACCAAATGTGGGTGATCCGGGACACAACTTCCCCCCACCACCACAATGTCCCTGGAGATTTGCCCTGGGCTGTCTGTTATTCAGGGTTGGTCTTGTTGCTTTATCAGAAAATAATCCTTGGACTATCTTAGGTTTCTCCCCATGCGAAGCAGGAAAATGGTGATATCCTTAGTGCCTTTTTTTATAGCTATTCCCTGGCTCCCGTTCAGATCTTTGCCCCAAGCCTTTCTTAATCTTCTCTTCTCCCCAGCCACTTTTTTAACTTGCACCCAGCCTCTTTCCTATCCGCCCAGGTTTCCTTGCTCTCTATTCTGTCCAGGTCCGTTCCCAAGGTCCACTTCCCCTCTCTGGGACTGTCACAGGCCCCATATGAAAACCCTTGTACCCTCCACACTGAACTCACGCATTTCTCTAACTTCACCTCTCCACTCCACACCTCCCTCCATTCTGGCTCAACCCCCAGGGTCCCCCCAGGACTCAATATATAACTTGCCTCCCTTCTCTGACTGATCCCAGTGAACAGATCCTTGGTCTTGTTTTGCACTGAAATCACCCCATCCCTCCACTCAGACCTTTCCACCCTTAGCTTCCTTCCTCCATCCTCCCCGCCCCGGTGAGCCGTTCTCCACCATGGGGCTTATTCACTCCGTGACTTCTTCTTTTCCCTCCCTGAGGATGATGGGGCAACACACTTCCCAAGGTGAAGGACCAGGGAATATTGCAGGGGGAGAAAATATGGCCCATGTCACACTTTAGAACGGCTCAAGGGTATGCCCGTGTCCCTGGATGCCACCCCATCCACCAGTCATAGCAAGGACCTAGGGCAATCCCAGGCATGTCTCCTTTCCCAGGGCATCCCCGGTCCATCTCCTGCAGCTGAGGTGCTCCTGGCTGCGGTGTGGAGCAGGCTTTATGCACTTGGTGCCTTCTAGCACGTTGCAATCTCAATGCCAGGGGCAGTCACGGTTGTGCCCTGGCTCCTTCCCGCTGCAATGCCAGTGCAAGGAGCCTTGGAGCATTGGGGGGCTGGCTCCCTTTTGACCCATCAAGACCCCTTTTCCCCCCCTCAAATTCCATCTTGGACCCGAGTGAAATACAGAACTCTTTATAGACAGAATTACTTAGAGAAGGTGAAATAACTCATTGGGGAATACAGCTCTTTGTGGAGAGTGAATTCATATTTGGGTTTTTTCTCTGCTCAGTCTGCTGCTGTTCTACTGACGCCTTTTTACACAGCAACGCTGGCGGTTTCTGCACCGTCGAGATGAATTTTCGTTCCCAGAGCAGCGTGACTTGCAAACACCTCGCCTTGAACAAAACTTGCGGCGTCTCGGTTGT